AGAAGGGTTCTATGGGACACATTAAGACTGTTTTCAGTGGACTAAGGAATGTGAACATCAACAAAAAGGGAGGAGAGAGAAGCAGATAGTGTAAATATAGATCTTCGTCTCTCTTCATTCCTCCAAATCCAATCAACCAGTCTCATCCCCATCTCTATTGCAAAGCACCAGCTGTGGCTTTCCCTCCTTCTCTCCTTGCATCTCTAGAACTTCACCCAGATGTTTTCCTATAACAATTTTATCTCATTCATCCTGATAATCCAGCCCCCAATTCCCTCAAGTGTTTTATAGGAACCTTTAAGCAAAATCTGCTTGAAAATCAAATAGGTTGGTGAAGCAGGTAGGCTAACTGTAGATCTTTATTCTTCTTCCTCTTTAAAATATAGAATCTTCATGTTTTATTACAGGTTCTGTAGCTGATTAGCTATTGTGGCCCTCCTCACTCCCTGACCTTATTCCCAGGCCTCTAAATTGATTCTAGTGAAGCATCCTTCATTCCTCCTGCCTATGGACACCTTTCCCCCTACCTTCTTAGACAGTCCCCATTCCTAAATGCCAGCTTCTAATATCTTGAAGACATTTTAAATGGAAAGGCCAGTATCTGCATCAATCAGGATCTCAAAAGAATTTCACAGCTACTACATGCAATCTAGAACCTGAAAGGTAAACTGAAACCAAGGAATAAATCATACACCCAAAAGACAAGACCAGATAGCAGCACCAATAGTTACAATTTTCCCAATCACAGATACCTAGGCACTAGTGTAAAAACACAATTACTAATAGCTAGGACAACATCCCCACTACATCTCAGCAACCCAACCACAGGAGGCCCTTGCAATTGCAACATAGCTGAAGCACAAGACAAAAATCCAAAAATAGCCTTTATAAATATAACAGAAAAACACAAAAATAGCCTTTATAAATATAACAGAAAACCCCCAAAAAAGCCTTTATGAATATAACAAAGTTAAAGAAGAAAGGAATAAATTCCTTAAAGAAATCTTTAAAAACAAATATAAAGAGTGGAACACAATGAATAAAACAGTTGTAGAATAAATCTGGTATTAAAAGAAATAGAGGAAGGAAGAGAAACTCAGGTACATTACATATTTTCAAGCAAAGTGTAAGGGAAAAAAATCTTCCCAAATCTTAAGGTACAAAGATCATATGTAACACAAAATAGATTTTATGAGAAAAAAATTTCTCTTGGTACATAAAAATCAAAGCAATAAACATAGAGAACATAGAATATTAAAAACATGAAAGAGGAAAAAGCCAAAGGCAGTCCTATTAGAATGGTACCTTACACCTCAGTGGAGACTCTAAAATCTAGAAGGACCTGGATGGATATTCAACAGACTTTATAATGTCACAGATATCAACACAGAATCCTATACCCAGCAAAAAGTTCAGTTACCATAGTTGGAGAAAATAAAATAATCCACATAAAAGCAAAAATCTACTATATTTAAGTATATATCCAGACACACAGAAGACGCTAAAAGGAAAATTTCAACCTAAAGAGGATAACTATATCCAGAAAACAAAAGGAATAAACAGTCCCAGACCATTAAAATCAACAGAAGAGAAACACACATATACTATAATGACCACCACCACAAAAGGAACAAAAAATAAAACATGAATATTTACAAAACATTGCTCACTGATAGCTCTCAATATCAATTTTCTCAATATCTCAATTAAAAGAATCACAGACTAACATACTAGATTAGAAAACAGGATCCATCCTTCTGCTATCCAAGAAATACTCCTTAATGTAAAATATTAGAAAAAGTTATTCTAAACAAAGGTATCCAAGGAGGAATCTCATATAACTAATTTAATATCTGTGAAAATAGATTGTAATCAAAAATAATGAAAAGAGATAGGGTTGGACACTTTATACTCATCAAAAGAAAAATCCACTATGAAGATATTGAAAATCTAAATATCTATATACCAATCACAAGGACATCCAAGTTCATAAAAGAAACACCACTTTAGTGTAAATCACATATTGCCCCTCACACCCCTAAGTCTGAGACTTCAATATCTCACCTTTACCAGTTGATAGATCATCCAGACAAAAACTAAACAGAAATACTGGAGCTAACAGATAGTCTAAAGTAAATGAACCTAACAAATATTTACAAAACTTTTCACTCAAACACACACACACATATAAGTACACCTTCCTTTGGGATCTCATGGAACCTTTCTCAAAAACTGATGACATATATGCATACAAAAACCTCAAGATTTACAATATGTTTGAAATAGTTCCCTGTAAATCTGAAGAGTAGTGATTAGTACTGGATATTGACAAAACAAGAAACAACAACAATTTTACAAATACATAGTGAACACTTCAGTATTGAGTTAAAATGAGTCAAGAAAGAAAATAAAAACTTTCTAGAATTGATTGAAAATGAATAAACAACATATTTAAACCTAAAGGACAAAATGAAAGACAGTCTAAGAAGCAAGTTCATAGCACTGTCAAAGAATAATTGGAGAGATTATGTACAAATAACTTAACAGCACACCTGACCAATCTAGAACAAAATGAAGAAACCATGTCCCTAAGGAGAAGATGGAAAACAGTAATCAAATTAAGGGCTGAAGTTAATAAAATAGAAAGAATAAAGCAAAATGTATATAAACAAACAAAAACAGAAAAATTAATGGAACAAAGTGTTGGTTCTTTGAGAAAAATCACGAAGATTGACAATCAGTTATCCAAATAACTAAAAGCTAGAGAATATACAAATTAAGAAAATTAGAAACAAGAAAGGGAAACATAAAAACAAACACCAGAGAAACTCAGGGATATAAAACTCTAATTTAAAAATTTGAATGTCACTAAATTAGACTATTTAAAAGCAATGATCAATTTCATCAATACATACAACTTATCAAAATTGAACCAAAATCAGATAATCAATTTAGCTAATCATATAGCCATGAGGGAAATGCAAACAATAAATAAAACACTTTCAACATAGTCCCCCACTCTCAGAAAATAATTCAAAACCAGATGAAGTGATTTTTTTTATCAGACTTTCAAAGATGAGTTAATTTCAATACTCCTTAAATTCTTCTACAAATTAGAAACAGAAGGAATATTTCCCAATTAATTTTATGAAGCCATAGTTACCCTGATTCCTAAGTCACATAAAAAACAAACAACAAAAATTACGGAACAATTTTACTTATGAAGGGAGATGGCAAAATTCTCAATACAATTTTTGCAAACTGAATTTAACAATTCATCTAAATGAACATCCACTACGATAATGCATGTTTCATCTAAAGATGCAACTTTGGTTCAACATATGTAAATCAATAAATGTAAATGATCATATAAGAAAACTACAAGACCAAAATAATACATGTGATCATCTCATGAGCTACAGAATAGCACTTGACAAAATCTAACACATTTTCATGATAAAAGTTTTGTAGTGATTAGGAATACAGTGGACATTTCTTAACATTATAAAATAAAAGGAAACAGAATAGATGTTAGAGATTGATTCACTAAGGGTAACTAAATCAGGAGGTTCAAGTAGAGAGGGGATAGAAAGATCAGAATCAGGGAGGGAACGTACTTTGCAGTGAGTGTGTCTTATTGTAATCCCTCCAAAACCAATGTGGGTGTCCCATTCTAGTTTCTTAGGTCAATGGATAGTCCAAGTCATAGAGACAAATGGAAAAGTTTGAAGTGAAAATTCACATATGAAGGAAAAAAGTGTAAATTTATATGAGGGACTAAAATAATTTAGTCATTGTAATTTTTCCAGGTCCACACATTTTCCAAAATTTTCATAATGCGTGATTCTTACCACTTAAAAATTCCATTGTACTATATTTCAATTATCCATTTACATTGTGATGTACGTTGAAATTGATTCCATTTCCTAGTTATTGTGAACAGAACTGCAAAATGCATGGGTGTGCTTTTATGTCTGTTGTATTCTATAAAGTCCTTTCAGTACATCCATAGGAATAACATAGCTGGGTAATATAGTAATATCTGTAGTTGCTTGAGAAAACTGATCAGTGGTTTTATAGTTGCAGTATTCCCAACAGCAGTGAACTGGGCCTCTTCCTTACTCCTCTCTTCATTGCTCAAGAGTCTTAGTAGTCTAAGTTGCAGCTATTGAGACTTTGCAAAGGCTCTGATATAATTTTTATGTAACAAATTACTCCTGCTTGGTTATATGGCCCAAGTGACAGAAACAGTTGTTTCTTTAAATGGACTTGACAAAAATTTTTCTCCTGACTTAGGTTGCCTCAGGCCTATGCTCTTTTAAGTAGCATGAACAAAAATCGTGTACTAGGGAAGAAATTTATTTGAACACTCTGGAAACACTCTGTGGCACTTTTTATCACTCTTATTGGTAAGACATCCAAGATGTATTGTTTTTGTTTTTATCTAAACAGTGCCAAGAATTATTTTGATATCTCAACCACAGAAATTATTCAGTACAATGGCAAATTGTAAATACTATAAGGATTTCATACTCTCTCACAGAAAAAAATACATCTTCTTGGACATCCAGAATTTCTTACTTCATGAAATCTCATTAATAAGAAATAAATTTAGTGTTATATATTGTGATGCTTCATGGAATGTTTGACAGCTAAAGATGCTTCATATTGAAAGAAACATCAAGGAAAACCACATAATCCATGAATAAGACCATGAGTTTGAGATGGTTGCTTCCTTATACTGTGCTAATTATGTGAACTTGTATGTAGTAATCAAGTCTCCTTTAAATCTCAACATCTCATACGTAACCAGAAAGGCATATATATTCTAAGAAGACATTAGGAACCTGCTGTTCTGACCAGGTTTTTATTACAAACTTTATGAAATCAGTATAATTTGCATAAGGACTTCTTTTTTCTAGTGTTCCTGCCCCTTGAAGTACTATAAGAATGTCTTCTCAGGGCTATGTCATGATCCACACAAACTCTGGGAAAGCTCAAAGATGGTGTTTACACTTCAGATCCCTAGACTTCTGCTTTTCTGGATTTCAAGTATGATTCAACATGGCAAAAAGTGGAGATATTTAAATACAAAATTTTCTTGCTTTATTTGGAAGCCAGCATTACATGGGGTTTGACTTTCTGTTTAAAGAAAATGAAACTATAAAAGTCTAATTTTCCTAAGTAGTTTAAGAATGACTATCATACTCAATGTTGTGTTCTACTAATGTTTTCTTTTCTGCTTGCAGCCTCCAGTTGTAACCTTGTGTTGACTCAGTATTCAGCCACTCTGTCTGTGACTCCAGGAGATAAAGTGACTCTCTCCTGCAAAACCAGACAGAGTGTTGGCACAAACCTAAACTGGTGTCAACAAGAATCAAATGAGTCTCCAAGGTTTCTCATCAAGTATGTTTCCCAGTCCATCTCTGGAATCCCCTCCATGTTCAGTGGCAGTGAATTAGGGTCAGATTTCACTCTCAGCATCAACAGCCTGGAAAATATCTCAAGTTATTACTGTCTACAGAGTATGGCTTCCCACAGTGATCCAGACAATAGCAAAAGCACCAAGAAAGCAGAAGTGTGAGGCTGGGCTGATTTATCTGTTTCTGGTGGTGCCTTAACCTTCTTCAAAGAGTTTCACAAATATAGCTAGGTATGATATTTACAAAAATATGTTGAATGAAGTAGCTTTGAAGTCTTTTTGCCTTTGACTCCTCTTCACTTTGTTTCAGGACTAGAATACATAGCCTACAATTGGCATGCTGTAGCCTAACAGTCTTCCTCCTGTGTACTGCAACCAGAGAGAATATCATTTTGGTGAACAGAAGGAATGATTAATTATTCCATTCCCTTATATTTGTTAAAAGTTCAGATGAATCTTTCTCTGAACCCATATCATATGCTTACTCCTATGTTCTACAATGACTGGAGAGATACAGCTCAAAGATTCTTGGCTCTGTTGGAAAATTCCCTCTTGAATATAAAGTATTTTTCAGGTTTATGGATTTATATAAATTGTCCAATTGAATTTGGATAAAATTGGAAGTTTCTTGATGTGGAGTTTACAGTTAATATTTAATAGACAAAAAAAACCAATGAGGTGAAAAACAAAAGAAATGTTTTCTGAATTAAAGTGTAACGATGATTTGGAGTTTTGGTGAAATATTTGGGCAAATATTAGGTGGTGATCACCTTTAATCCTTTAATCCAATCACACAGGAGACAGTGACAGACAGATTCCTATAAATCCTACACAACGAAGTCAGGGCAGAACTTTCTGATAAGATAAAGCCTCTTGCAAACAATAGTCTGAATCCAAAATGACCTATTTTTTTTCCTTAGAGTTACTATTTAAGATTTTGCTTAATGATAAGTGGAAATGTCCTTAATTATTTTGAATTATTCCAATCTTATATTTGAAAGAGAAAGTGGAATATACGTATATTCATGCCCATAAAGTATGGTGATAGTTTCAATTTGAAAGATAATGCTTTTTATGTTGCCAGATATAAGTCAATATAAGGACCCAGAGTTAGGGTTAGGGAAGCATTGTTTGTTCTCATCTTTCCAGGAGAAGAAAAGGACCCATATATGGAATCATTGACTATCCAACAGGAGAATAAAAAATAATACTGCTAAGGTTATTAAGAATATTGCATGTTAATTATCAGATTGTAAATACAGAATACAAATGTGTTCTGTCAGAGAAAGACAAGAGATTAATGCCAATTGATTCTAAATGTGATATGCCATTTTAGTATACAACTGGACAACTTTACACACAACAATCTAGTTTAAAATTGCATGATATGGGGTCTTGCTTCTTGGTATGAGGTAGGGTGTCAAGATACTCAGAACAACCAGCCTGTCTCTTTGGAATACGAAGATCACATGGGAGAAATAATGGCAGCTCGTAAGAGCTAACATAAAGTAGGGTATCAACACTGCTTTGAGCAGGCAATACATCTCCTTGGAAAGTGGGGCTTCCATGGGAGAACAGATGGCTCCTCAGTCTAGTGAAGAATACAAACCAAGACATTTGAGCAAGTACAGTATGCTTGAAGGTATGCGTAGGTACTAAGATGAAAAGGGATTTAAATAAAGTTGAATACATGAAGATTGCTAAATTAAAAGAAATCAATCAATCAAGCTTCATCCCAGCACAATATTTTCTTACTTCTTAATATATACTTGTTCCTATTTGTGTTTATGTATGATTCTCTATAATTCCTAATGTTTCTGTTCATGTACAGGAAGAAACAGCCCACATATACCTCACTATATTTACTGAGCATATTATTATCCTCCATATATCCATGTACTTTATCAGGGTTCATCTTGAACAAAGGCCTAACACTATCCTCATTTTATCAATCTCTCTACCAGAAAGGGAGGCAATGAAAATGTCTATCTGCTCAAGATTACTGTAATACTAGGCATAAAAGAAGTTTCTAATCTCTTAGTTACTGGACAACTAGTATTTTCTTATAGACCCTGCCAACTTCTGTGAGAGTAGTGTGCACATTTCACACCCAGTGTTACTTAATAGACAACAGAGTTCCTGATAATGCCTTGTGATACACATGGAGAAATGCTGGTCCTATGACTCTAAAAATTTACCTTCTTGGTTATACATGTTTTTTGCTCTCCATTCACATATTGTAGTCCAGTACAAAGCTGTTGTGCAGTTGCTGAATTACATATTACTATTACCTGTATGAATGGGGCTTGTTAGCCTTCTAAAGATTTTTCCAAAGTTGAGAACATTAAAGAACATAGGAGGAAATATAATCTGTAAATCTAAGAAAAAAAAACTTGACATAATGTAGCTGACATCCAATAACTCCAGCTTGATCTCAAAGGAACATGATAGAAAGTGAAAAGATTATCAGGGTATAACATTCCATTAACTATTGAGAAGTCTCTTTTCTCCATTTTGTTTCTATCTTAAATATTGCTAATGGTAGGAATGTGTGAAAACATTTTTTTTTCTGGGTTTTATATTTTCTTCTTTTAGAGACTCTCTGCAGCTTCATGAGACACTCTTATTTACAACACTTCTACATTTAGAACCATGATGGAACTTTCTGTGAACCAATGGGAATGTGAACTTCAGATCTCTGAAGTATCTTGTCACTGTTGTTGGAAGGATCTGAGGGCTGATACTTTCCCAACAGTATATAAGTAGCACCTTATCCTTTGACTTTCCAGTGCACTTTAGTCATTTAGATATAGACCATAATCCAGGGAACTGGCCCACCATATTAAAATTAGGCAAACCTTCTTATAAGTGATGTACTGTTCCTTTGAATAATCTCATCATTTCACATTTTTCTATGCATAATAAATTTTGGGTGTCATAAAAGTTCAACAAGAAGTCCAGGAGTTAGACAAAGTGTTATTTGCTATAAGACAATAAAGTGTGCTGGAAAATGGGTTTCCAGAGGAGTGTGAGAAAGGACTGATTTAGAGTGGTGAGAAACTCACCAAGTCCTATACATTTTATCATGCCTTGTATTCAATAATAACTGGAGAATGTACTGAAAATACAACTTCATGAATGAGGTGAAGAACTTATGCACTGTGTCAATCCATCCGTAAAGCAGATGTGTTGCAGGTGAAGTCAAACTTTCCATGTAAAAAGAGAGCATATAGTCTTGTTTTTTGAGTTCCTCAGATTTCGAACAGATATAGTAATTGGAGACTGTTGTCAACCAGCAGCATTGTTGACCTGGGAAGGCAGAATTCACTTCTGCCTGTTTGTAGAGAAATACATCACATAAGATTATCATGAGTGTAAGTGTTCTATTTATATATTTTATACATTCATAAAATGGTGATATAAGTTAACATTTTTGATTGACTATGTTTATTGGGATGAATTTATTGCTTAATCAAAGAATGCATATATGGTGTTGGTGCACAAAGTATATTCATATTAGTGGATAGATTTAGGGATATATGCAAACTTTTTGACTCTATTGCACATTAGTACATCTTTGATATATCTCTATCTCTATCTTATCTATATCTATCTATCTATCTATCTATCTATCTATCTATCTATCTATATCTATATCTAACTATATCTATCTATCTATCTATCTATCTATCTATCTATCTATATATATATATATATATGGATACACAATGATTATATAGTTCAGAGTCATACTGGTCATTAATTTTTCATATCAATCTGTAGCTTAACCTATCCACCTGCCCATTTTTCTAACACCTCTTCTTTGTTCATCATTATCAGGTGCAATAATCTGAAATTTCAAAGATACATTGGAAAAAATATATATATATTCCTAAAAGAATCTGGGAAGTGCACTCATATGCATAGAATGGAGAGAAAACCCATGACCTAGTCTAGCTTTGATGCAAATAGTTCTTGGGTAGCTGAGCTGTCATAAATAAGTAAAATGAGGTTGTTTACTTGAATAGATGGGTTGTATATGGGAGTTCCTGTCTTTATTTACAAGGCATACCTTCCAATATTGTTCTCTTACTCCTCTGGGAGTCGTTGTGGGAAAGAAGCTGCAAAGCTAGTTGTGGAGGTCAGTCCAAAGGGATACATATAAAAAAGGCTCCCATACCCAAGGCTCAGGGAACATTTGGGAAAGGAAATAGAAAGATTTATAGAGATAGAGGATTAGGAAGTTTGCTGTGAGCTTGAGACTGCTAGTAAAAACAGAAGCTATACCTGTAAAGTCTCAAACTCATGATTACTCAAATGTGAGTTGAATAAGGAAGACAACAATGAACATGAGAAGAAGGATGAGCAAATGCCCAGGAGACTTTACATCCAAAGAAAAAAAATATGGAAAAGGAAGTAAAGATGGCAGCAGAAGAGGTTCTTCTCCCTTGAGAAGAACATGCCAATTGATTTTACAGGGTGGAAAGATCAGCCCTGAAAACATACATACCCGTAGTATTATACAGACTCAACAAGTTATATTTAGGAATATGTGTGTGTGTACAAATACATATGTGCATGCGGAAACAATTAATGACAGAAGAAGCCATGAATTTGAAAGAGAAGAGGGATATGTATTTGTTCGGATGTAAAAGGATGAAAGGCATGGGGACAATGTAATAAGTAAGAGGCAGAGGGAGGGGAAATGTAAGACGGAGATGTGGAAGGGAAACCAAGAAAGGACAACATTTGAAATGTACATACACAATATATGCAATAAAAAATTCAGTTTCACAAAGAGAGAAAAAATCACAGAAGAATCTGCCTGGCCTCTATAACATCTACACCTACCTTTGAAAGGTCAATAGAACCACTTATGTTCTGTCTATGATGGAACCATATCTTAAATAACCTGCCATTGAGGAAAATATAACAAGGAATTTCTAAATGGTGCATGATAGAAGTCAAAATAAGGTACAACTCATAAACTGTTGCTGTCATTTGTTTTTCAAAGAGAAGGATATTCCCTACAAATAAACCTGTACTGAATCTGAATTGGAGATGACCACAGACCTGTAATGAGCTATTGACCTGATGAGTCCTGTGTGCCTACTCTTGCTAATTTGCATGTACTCAAATCACAGCCAATTGCTCTGAGGGCT